AGGAATTGTAGCTGACATCTGCACCTAGCGGCCCTGTAATGGTCACCGAGGCTCTCAAGCCTTACGGCCACCCCGACATTAAGCTCCACTTCGTCTCCAACATCGACGGCACACACATCGCTGAAGCGCTCAAGCACTCTGACCCGGAGACCACCCTTTTCCTGATTGCCTCCAAGACCTTCACTACCGCAGAGACTATTACCAACTCCAACACTGCCAAGTCTTGGTTCCTCGAGTCTGCCAAGGATGATTCACACATTGCTAAGCACTTCGTGGCTCTGTCGACTAACGAGCCCGAGGTCACCAAGTTTGGCATTGATGCCAAGAACATGTTCGGATTCGAGTCGTGGGTGGGCGGACGTTACTCCGTATGGAGCGCCATTGGCTTGTCTGTCGCTCTGTACATCGGTTACGACAACTTCCACCAGTTCCTGGCTGGTGCCCAGGCCATGGACAAGCACTTCCGGGAAACACCGCTCGAAAAGAACATTCCCGTTCTCGGTGGTCTGCTGAGCGTTTGGTACAGCGACTTCTTCGGTGCTCAAACCCACCTGGTCGCTCCCTTCGACCAGTACCTGCACCGCTTCCCCGCCTACCTGCAGCAGCTATCCATGGAGAGCAACGGAAAGGCCATCACTCGCACCGGTGAATACGTCAAGTATACCACTGGACCTATTTTGTTCGGTGAGCCTGCCACCAACGCGCAGCACAGCTTCTTCCAGCTTCTGCACCAAGGCACCAAGCTCATCCCGGCCGATTTCTTGATGGCGGCCGAGTCGCACAACCCCGTCGAGGGTGGCAAGCACCAGCGTATGCTGGCTGCTAACTTCCTCGCTCAATCCGAGGCTCTGATGGTTGGAAAGACCCCTGCTCAGGTCAAGGCCGAGGGCACTGCCGAGGAGCTTGTTGCTCACAAGACTTTCCTGGGTAACCGTCCCACCACCTCTATTTTGGCTCAGAAGATTACCCCCTCTACCTTGGGTGCTCTGATCACTTACTACGAGCACGTCACCTTCACCGAGGGTGCCATCTGGAACATCAACTCGTTCGACCAGTGGGGTGTCGAGTTGGGCAAGGCCCTTGCGAAGAACATCCAGAGGGAGCTCGAGACCAAGGGCGAGGGTGCTGACCACGACAGCTCCACCAGTGGTCTGTTGCTTGCTTTCAAGCAGAAGGCCAAGCTGTCTTAGAGTGTTTTAGCCTTTCATGAAGCACTGTGGGATGTGTAGTTTTGACGAGCAACGATTTTCCACATATTTTTCCTTTGAAAAGAAATGAATGATTCCCAAAAATTTCGTTACCAAGTAAGCTTTCGTATGGAATGCGAAACACGTTCGGGGTTAGACATGAAAGAATTAGAAGTAGGGAGGTGGTTGGAAGTAGCAGCAAGGGGAAACCGTAGGGAAACCCGCTTTGTTGTCCGCAACTCCGCAACGCGGGTACACCTCCGTCCTTCACTCCTGCGCAATCCTCGAACACTGGAAACTTACCGACGCGGGGCGGTTATTCTCCTAAAATCATTGGAGAAAAAAGCAAGAATGTCTCTCATACGGCAATTGAGCCCGTCTTCCGCAGCAGTGGCGCTGCTGTCTTTGACAGGCGCATTGTGGCCAACCAACACACTTGCGGGGAGCACCAGTGACAACAGCGACGGATACAAATTGAGAGAGGATATCCCAGTGTCATGTCTGAATCGAACCATGTGAGACCATCTTTCAATCAAGCTGTAGAGTACGGCTAACCATTGCTCGTTCTACACCTGCAGGGAAGGAGAACATGTAAGCGCCACCAGTCTGCCTACCGTCTCCTGACACGAAGACAATAGCGCAGACTACCAGGAAACACAAAGCTAATAGCAACTACGAAAACATCCAGGTCACTGACAATCTCGGCAAACTCCAATACGTCCCCTTCGTGACCTGCAACGAAACCGCCCGCCCTCTCTCTCTTCACTACGGCATCTCTGAAACAATAACATGCACCATCGACTCCCTCTCCGATGAGATGTACCACCTCCTCGAGTTCTACGTTCACTCGGATGTACCAATGAGCTGCCGCGTGCCAACAGCGCCGCTAACACCATCCGCCAGCGCAGAGCACGCGGACAAAGACTCGGACCAGAAGTCAGGAGAAGCAGACACCCTCTCCGCACTAGCTGACAACGGGCCACCCTTCACGCCGCTCACAATCGCGCTACAAGGCACACTCCAACTGAGCCATTTGCACATCTGGACGGATATGAATGTCGTAATGCACAACATGGCCTCGGACGCGGCTGCAGAACAAAACACCAAGACTCGCGGTGGCCAGTCTGGGCAGCCTGGCTTCGTGGTTGGCGGTGTTGCATATTCGACTCCCGAGTTCGACAACACCGGCAAGAATGCCAAGCTCGACGAGGACGAGGAGCCTGTTGCCCTTGCTCAGGCGGCACGCGAGCCGTGGACTGCTGGGCACGGCACTAAGGTTGTGCGTGGGGAGCCGCTTACCTTCTCTTTCCACGTTGCATGGTTGGAGGGCGGTGCCAGTATTGGGTGGCCGGTGCGGCCTGCTTTGGAGTCGTGGCTGGCTTTGGCGACTGGGTCTGGGAAGAGCTCTGGGTCTTTCTTTTCCAAGCTGGTGTTCTTTGTTATGGCGGCCTCTGTTGGCGCTTTAGTTGCGCTGTTCTGGGAGCGCAATGGTGGGCGTTGGCGTGGGCGATCCGCTTGGCATGGAGATGGGCTTCTGGGTGCGACCCCCGTCCGTGGAGCGAAGAGTCCTGGTGTTACCTTTGGCAATGGGGGGAAGAATAATGGCTATGGTGGTTACTCCGGCCCTACTATTGGCAATGGCAATGGGAACGGGCTTGGAAGTGGATATGTCTTGCCAACTGGAAAGAGGGATTAATATTGAGAACTGAGAGGAACTAGGTACATATAGTGTGGCGCTTACAACATGTACAGTGTACCTAATTTGAGAGACAGAATTGACCATTAGCAAAACGCCGGTGCTCTACATATCATGATACTATACCCAAATGATCAAGTCAAACAAATCCGATGCATTCATTCCATATATAATGCAAGAGCCAAATTCAACAGAAAAATCAAGTACCTAGATAATAGTTGTACAAGTAACAAAAGAAAACACCAATTTTCAGGCTAAGGCCACTCTGCCCACTCAGTCCATCACCCACACTAGCCTTCTCAGTATATACATACAAGCCGAGTAGACAAGCCGCAGCACAAAAGCCCAAAGCAAAAGGAGCAGCATAAAACTACCAACCCTGTGCCTGCATACGCTGAATCTTCTTCACAGTGCCCTGGAACGAAAACTTGAACAGCTTCTTCCACCGCACCATCTTCTTCTGCTTGCGCACCATACCCTTCCGCACATGGAACTTCTGATCGTGAGCATCATGCCGAACGCTATTCTGCGAGATAGTAGCCTGAAGCCTGCGCAGCGCAGCACCGAGATCAGTACCACGCTCCGGCTCAACCTGAATCTGTCGACCAAGCGTCGGCCCGAGCTTCAGCTCGACCTTGCGTGAAGGGAGAGGCACTCTCGAGCGCGCCCGGTAGCTGCTCTGTGCGCCTTCGCCGACAGCCCTAGAAAGCGAGTCTGAGAAGATCCGACGCTGGGCACTGCTTGCTTCTCGGGGCTTGCTGAGGTCGAGTCTGCTGAGGATGTCGTCGAAGTCGGAGACCGGTTTGCGGGCTGACTGTGCGGCCCCGGGGGCGGCTGTGCTTGGCTCGGAGGTCGGCTTTTGGGCTTGCTTCGCCGCCTCGGGGGCCGTGCTTGGCTGGTCGGTGGGAGATGTGGGTTTGAAGGGTGGGGTTGGTGATGAGGCGGAGGAATTGTAGCGCACTCCGTTCGCGAGGGAGGCCACGCGGTGTAGCTGGGTCTGCTGTTGGAGCCATGGTGTTGGCCTGGCGCGGAGGCTGCGGGCCAGGAGGCGGAAGTCCATTTTGATTGGACTCGCTCGTGTCAGGGCAGCAGGTCTATGGGGGTGGATTGGACTGGCTCCTGGGCTTGGGAAGGAGAGATTGGTCGAGGTGGACGCGCAGGGTCGGAGGTGCTTGAAGTTCCCGTGACGGAAAATCATTGTCTCCCGATTGGAAAGGAAATTGTAGGTCACGTGTCGTATGCTTTAGAGTCATTTTTTCGAGATCGTAAATATCACACCTGCAATCTTGGGAATCTTGTGAAACTACAATATCCCCCTCGTTTCACTTCGAATAGCTCTCTTTGTATATACAGTTTACAGAGTTCGGCAAAAAAAATGTCATCCATCTCAATCGCAACTCTCCCCCGCATGGGCCGCGATGTTCTAGCGACACTGCTCTCAACTGGCGAACCAAGCAGCCTGGCGATTGTCGACGTCCGAGACTCAGGTAAATAACCATTATTTTGCCATACAGTCAAATCAAAGACTATCAGTTGACAGTTGGAACAGACCACGTTGGTGGCCATATCCACTCATCAACTTGGGTCCCGAGCTTAACACTGGACGTGCGCATGCCAGAGCTTATCCGCACTCTCAAAGACAAGGAAATGGTTGTATTCCACTGTGCACTCAGCCAGCAGCGTGGCCCCTCTGCTGCCCTTCGCTATCTGCGAGAGCGTGAGAGCATGTTTGGTGCGGAAGAGAGCCAGAAGCAGCAAGTATTTGTGCTCGAGGGTGGGTTTGTGGAATGGCAGCAGAAGTATGGCAATGATACTAAGCTGACTGCGGCTTATGCTGCGGATATCTGGGAGGAATACTGAATTGGCCCTTTTGGGATGGTGGGGGTTACGGCCGCTTTATGCATCTGCTTTTTTTCATGAGACTTAACGAACTTGATATGAGAGATACCACTTAGATGCATTGATGGCTTCATTTTCGTTTTTTATTATTCTGGGATATTGGGGCCGACGAGCTCTGTTTGATTGTTTCTGTATGTTCGGCGAGTCCATGTGATTCTATCTGATGAAAGATGAGATTATTGTACATGAGATGGCTTTGGGTCTATTATACTTGCCGGTTACATCTGAATGCCGCCTCCAAAACCAACAGGCCGTCTCTGCCCTCCATTTTCAGGTATAATGGCCATGACCTTATAGATTTGTCCCATTGATCCGCCGCTCTTCTCAACCAATCGCTTCCAGGCGGTCTCTAGTGTCTTTTTGTGTTCTTCATCTTGCACCTTACGGAGCAACTGCTGCATGCGCTCCTCAATACCCATGGCTGCGAGGAAATCACCCTGTTCAACAGGACCGTGAACCTCGACGCCGTCGCTGCCTTCGATAGCCGCTTCAGCCAGCGAAGTGAAATCCACATCCGCGCTGACATCCACACGCCCCGGTTCCGAGAGTGGTGGCACCTTCTTGTGGCTTTTGATTCCGCGCAGCGAGTTAATGGGAATGGTTGACAATGTCCCGTAGTCCATGATCAGGGCTGCGCCAGATGGAGTCTTTTTCTGAGATGACGGCGGTGGGCTAGAAGGAGAGGTCTTTTTAGCAGCAAGCGCAGAAGCAGAGTCACCACCGATCCGGCGCGCAAAGTCTGCAGCATAGATTCGGCTCTCGGGGCTGATCTCGATGGTCGCGCCTGGCTGCGACTTGAGTGCTCGGTAACGCTGGGAGATCTCCGGGATCACTAGCGATGACGGCGTGGAAGCTTTGGCTTTGGTTAATTGAAACTCGGGCTCTCCTTTTATGTTCTCTTCCACGGCTTTTGGATTTAATGTCACCATTAGCTCACGCCATTGCGGGGTGTTTGCGTGTTTGGGCGGATTATGTAGTTCTACTGGGCCAGTGGGAGTCATGATCTTTCTTGGCTCGTTGGCAATCTGGTTCTCTGGTGATGGCGGAACAGATTCGAATGCGTGAATTGGAAGCGCGTCGAAGAATTCATGTGCGAAGATGAAGGGTGTCTTGCCTTCTTCTGTGTCGCCGATGTCATTGGTCAGCATCAGACAAAAGGGTAAAACCGGATTGAAAGCATCACTCACCATGCGGTAGAAGACGAATATCCTCCACCCAGACGATGGGTACATCGAAGTACTTGCACACACTCCGATGCCCGATATCCGTCTCCTCCATCACAGCCTCCTCGCCGCACAGCAACCGCTTCTGCACTTCTCGGAGAGTTCCACTAGCTTCCACAAGGTAAATAGCTTCAACACTCGAAGAAAAGCTCTTGAAGTTTCGGAAAGTCTGTTGGTTATAGAAATCGTGGTCAGTCCAATGAGCTCTTTCTCATAAAAGGAAGACAGGCATAAGTGCAACTACCCACCCGCAGCATATCATCCATCAAAGTTCCTTTTCCTGGGCCAACCTCCATCAGCTGAACACCACTCTTTGTCCGCCCCTGCGCCATCCACTCCGCGATAGTCCATATACCGATCAACTCTCCAAAGACTTGCGAGATCTCGGGCGACGTTACGAAATCACCATTTTTGCCGAAGACACCTCCGCCCTCCCCTCGAGTTGTGTAATATCCGCCATCTGGGGAAGTCAATACCTGACGCATGAACGCCGCTATTGGTACAGGACCAGTGACCTAATTTGCGATGTCAATGATCAGCAAAAGAGCAGAGAGGTTAAAGCAAGGTGCATATTTACCCTCATGACACTGGCCAATGTTTTTGCCAGCGGCGTGGACCATTCTCTCTGTTCAAATGTGGAGTTCCATCTCCCTGGGCATCTCAGAAGTACTGGGTTGCGAGGTCTGCGAAGGACGTGCGACGCTACGCGCCTCGTGGTCTGGTTCATTCTTGGCTCGGGTTTGGGTGGCAGTAATTATTCGTATCATCAGATATACAACAACGGAACTGTTTGCGGCAGATAAACAAAATGACCGGGCCAAACACTCCTTCTATTGCCTCGCGCCAAGTCGAGATGTTTCTCTCAATCTCTCCGCGGAAGCTCCACTGCACGTGATCATATCTTTATCGGACGGTTATCGGCCGCTAGTCCTAAGATGGTATGGCTCGGAAACCCAAGCCCTAAAGACTTAAAGACTATATCAATAAGCACAGGAGCAGTTTAACCTTGGGAGTAGCTGTAGCCACTAGCAATAGTATACATTAGGCAGATTAAATAAGAGGTCAAGTCTATCTATCCTCAAAAATCTAATTAGTATGTATCTATTGTACACCAAGATAACCCTAGTTGAAACGTGTGTAAATCCAGTTTAGTGTTTTATGCTGATTTTTTAACGGACTATCTGTTAGGACTAGCTACCAGCGTATCCTGAAATGGAGGGTTTGAACTAGAGTGGAGGTTCCCAAGATAGCTCATACTAGCCACTTATATACATAAATGGCTTACAACTTAGGCAGATTAGTTTTCTTAATCTATGAGTCGCTATGTTACGTCGCACGATTAGTCATTGACCTGGACGCCGACCTCATTTGGGGCCAACAAGATTCGGAAATCGCTGGTATTGAATTGTATTCATGTCGACGAACCATTCCTGACATCCGGTAAGTGGGAACATCCATTGTAGCTTATTTTTAGAGTATAGAATTTTCATTATTCCCAATCTCAATAGATGTGACTATTATTATAGATACAAAGGTAGGTGAGCTTTAAAAGAAAGCAAGAGGGAAAGCCATGTGAAGGGAGGCTCTTATGACGCGGGTGCGAAGTGCGGCTTTATTCAGAGCGAAGACCGATCGTCCAAAATTCAAAGGGAAAAGCATGAGTATTAGGCTTATATCACAACGCCGGGGGGATCATTTAGTAAGTGATGACACACTGGATCGCCTCATAGTAGTAATGGTATATATATGTACTACCACCATCGGCTGTAGTCTTACCGCAATCAAACGTGGGGGTTTTTCCGTCATAATCTTGGAATTTGCTGCACGAGAAGGTTTTTGAGCCGCATGTAACCGACCCTACAGAGTCGGTATTTCCGGAGTACTTGCAGCCCGTGTACTGTGCAGGGAGATCAAAAGTACCCAGTGATGCGGGATACTCATCACTAGCGCCCGCGTCGATAGGGCCAGTTACACGGTAGGAGTTGGTGCATACGTTCTCGGTTGTCGAATCCTGATTGTAGGCGTAGTAGTCACCGGACCAAGAGTAGGAGTGCTTCTCGCTCAAATCAAAGTATACCGTGTGAACCTCGTACTTCAATATCATGAACTCATTCGGGTAGTTAGGGTTAGGACTTGAGGTTGAAGTGGTAGTCGTAGGTGTGCTACTGGTTGTCGTAGTCGTGGTCGTGGTCGTGGTCGTGGTGGTGTCTGCGGTCCTTTCCCACTCATCGTAGTCGGATGCAAGGGCAGCAAACACAGCCTGATTATCGTGAGAGTCGTTCTCGTAGTCGTATATACCCGTTGGGGAGGCAGTTGCGTCCGGGACCTCGCTGGTGGTGATGGTGGTTGTGACTGTCATATCTTGCACGTCGCAGTCGATCACCGTCTCGCAACGAGTTCGCGTGGTGGTCGAGAAGCTCCTCGTCGGGGTGGTATGGACCGCCGTGCTGCTGATAATTACCGTGCAGTCACTGGCAGTGGTGAAGCTCGTGCAGGCCTTTTCGGTCGGCATGCTGTTCGCGGGGCACCGATTGATGTTGCACGGCTCGTTGCACGATGTGGCGCCGCCCGCGCAGGAAGGTAATGTCGGGCAGTTGTTCAGACAGGTAGGCCTGGGTGTAGGCGCAGGGTTCCCCCCAGGCTGGACCGTGATGGTAATACCGTTGTCGCACCACGGGCAGCTCATATCAATGCAAGACGGTCCGACGCAGGGTCCCGGGCTGCAATTATTCAGTATGGTTTTCACACAGCCGCCACCCTTGTTGCATTTGGCACCTGAGCATCCGCCCCCCTTGTTGCATTTGGCACCCGAGCACCCGCCACCCGAGACGCAATGATCGCTCGAGCAGCGACCCCCTTTCTCGCAGTTGTGGCCTGTACATACTCCGCCCCGGACGCACTTTGGACCGGTGCAGTCGCCACCGCGGGTACAGCTGGGGCCGGTACAGTCTCCACCGCGTGTACAGTCGCTGTCGGTGCAATCGGGCCCCTTAGTGCAGGCATCACCGATACAGTCGGTTACTCCTGGATCAGGTATGGGGGTGGGAGAGTTGTCGTCGTCAGGGATGGTGGGTGCAGGGATTTTGGGTGTGACGAATGATGGCAGGCTGTAGCTCACCGTTGGCTGCCATGTAATGTAGACTATGAACCCTCCTGCATCGGTGGTGGTAGTGGAGGTGGTAGTGGTGGGAAGACCAACCAAGTCTGTGGTGGTGGACGGACCATCCACCTCGCCGTCGGGCGAAGTGATCGCCCACCCTTTCGGCACCTGGATCCCCATGGGGCTCGGCGTCACACGCGGGATGGGATTGTATGTGATGATGGTCCCGTTCTCCGTATCCGAGGAGGCGATCGTAAACGGCTGGTAATCGACCTCAGAAACGAGGAAGGCAGTAGACACAATGGTAGTGCTGACGGTGCCCCCGGACACCAGCGTGATCGTGGTGTATGCCGTGCGGGTCACCGTTGTCGCCAACGGGGACGCTTGGATGAGATTTGTGCACCCGACGGGGGCATCAATGACCGGGTTGACCCAGTTCCAGATCATGTTGTCGAAGACATTGATGCACGACGACTTGTTGTAGTCTCCCGTAGGACCGACGGTGTCAGCCACATTGAAGTCTTGGAGATCAACCGCCCAGTCAATCGTCCCCCGGAAATTGAGTTTCTTCCATGTGTCCCTTCGCGCCTGCTTGGTGTTATAACTCATGTAAGCTACCCATTGATCATCTGCGTATACCAATCCATAAGTATAAGGTCTCCTTGACGGCTGATGCTGAGTGCGGATGATGGCAGAGGTCGGAAAGATAAGATACTCACTCTCATAGACTACGTAGTCAGAGGCCGTGTCCTTGTCGTACCAGGTCTTGACCGATTCGCCGCCATGCGAAATAATCTCCTTGATTTCCGCGTTCGAGATATAGCCCCCGGTACCGGTGCATCGACCTGGCTTCGCATTGGAGGTCTCATTCGTGCCAGTGAAAAAGCAGTCTGGTCCTGTGCAACCTTGTTTGGCCATCTTGAAGGATCTTCCGTAACTCGACTCACCCACCATTATCTTGTTAGAATGCACACCTGCTTTGGTAACTGTTGGCCGATAGGCACATCAGTAAAACTGTCTTCAACTAGAATTACATGTGCCGATGAACAAGGGGCCAGATTCTTACTCATAGCAAGTGCCAGAAGCACTTCAGTCTGATTAACATGACTGCGAAGACAGTTGCCGCTTTTGCATCCTGACTGCGTGTACATGTTGCCATAATCCCACTGGCCTGGAGATCAATGTCAAATGTTAGTAGACTACCTCTAAGGTATTGGGAGGGGGGAAGGGAGGGGGGTGGGACCATGTAGATCGTAAGCCATGTAAACAATGTAGTCGACAATTTTCGCAATATCGCTAATCGGGAACGCTTTGAGATACCAGTATGAAGCTGGAGCGGCAATGGAAATGGAATATTTGTCTGGTAGCTCCTGTCGTAGTGCCTTGAGCGTCGCTAAGTAGTTGGGAGCATCTGTATTGAGGCCGGGGGGATTCCGGGGATATCAGGCGCCTAGATGAGATAAGACCTACTGTCAGCAGCTTGCGTACCACCTAAAGGGCAAAATAAAAGGTTATCAATACCCCCGGATACTCCCAGTCAATGTCGATTCCGTCTATACCCGTTCTATTGGCAAAGGCAACGAGGTTGGAGATGAACTTGTGGCGATTGTCAGGGGCCATGGCTTTGCGAAGGATGTCGTAGGTTGACACATTCGTCGAGAAACCCCATCCCCCAAAGGAAACTATCTTCTTGACGTCTTTCAGATCCATAAAGCCGGACCACTGGCTGTGCGAGTCATTAACGTATACAGACAGGTCCTCACCAATAGAACCAAACGCCCAGTGCATGTGGGTGTAGTCAAGTGTGTTGGACCACTGTGCACGCATGTGCAGACATTTACGGTCCCAATTGAACGTCTCATAGTAGCCCACGCGCTGGTAGCCACCCGAAGGACCGTCATGATTATTAACAATGCCGGTACCACAGTTCGAGATGCAGCCGTATACTCCCGGCTTCGATGTGCCCGGATTCCGCGTGGGGCCGGTGGACAGGGTGCAAAAGCTTGAGTCAATCCCGCACTGGCCCCAGATGTTGCAGCACGAGTTCAGTGGACACGGGTTCAGCAAGGCAAATTCCGAGGCGTTGGTGATAGGGCTGTCCAAGATCGTGCCAGGCACTTGCGGCCCACAGATAGCGTTGGGCAGAACGGCCGGGATCGGGGGTCGGCCCGAGCTGAGACATATGTTCTGACTGTGACCCAGGTTGTCGCAGCCGTTCCAGCCCCATGTGGTGCCATCGTTAAATTTCCCAAGGTCTTTGGCCGTCAGACTCCAGGCAAGGCCGATGTCGTAGCATGTGTCACCGGTCTGTGTCGTGTATGTATAGCAGGTGCCGTTATCGTAAGGCTGTGGCTTCAGGAACCCGTCGGTGCAGCAGACACTCGAGCCAATCTTCAGGTTCGAACACATTTCCTTGGAGTTGTACTTGTAGAACTGGTCGAGGGTGATACCGCACGCCTTGGCTAGAGACTGGCAGATGTCACCCGAGACAACCGTCCTTTTTTTGCAGTATTTGGTTGTGCGAGCGAGGAGGGGCGCATCAAGCTCCTGACCGGTAGAATTTGAAGTTGTGGTAGTGTTCCTTCCGACTGGATGTTGCGGTACCTCCCAGATACTGACATTCGGGAGTGAGGTCGCGTCGCCGAGTCCGCTCTCACATTTCCCTTGACTCCATGATACCAGTGCGGCCTGCACAGCAGAAAGGTCCGCTACGGTTGAAGTGGCAATACCAAAGACATGGTCTGCGTCACGCTGATCACCGCAGAGCTGTGTAAGCGTGGTCGCGGGAGCCGCTCCCTTGAACTTGGAGAGGACCTGGCCCATCACCGATGAAGCTGTAGCTTTACCCAATGCCTGGCCGGCATACACGCCGACAACCACCCCCTTGTAGTAACCTAGCATAATATTCTTGGTGCAGTCAATCCCTGCGTGGAGGTATGCCTGCACCTGCGTGAGCACGGTGATTACATCCTCGCTGGTGCCTTCAGCTGCTCCTGCAGATTTCTGTTGTGCAACCTGTAGCGTCACCTTGGACTCCCGAACGGAGGGGCCCGCATAGACCGTTCCACTAATTGCACCGGCATTCCTAGACTCATCCCAGCCATCACCTGTGGTGCAGGCGCGAAACTTTAGCGTCTTAGAAGAGTCATTGACAGGAGTGTGAATGGCGATATCGAAAAGAATTGGCTCATGGCAGAAGGAGAGCCGGTCAAAGGAAGCATAGACAGTCCAGTGCTGGGGCTCGTGGCTAGCACACGGCGCTGGACATGGTTTGAGCTGCGACTGGAACGCACCCGGGGCATTCAGAGCTGCAGCTAGGCGTTCAGAGTGGGTACTCAAAGCCGAGGCCGGTGTGCCGAGTGATAGTAATACACAGAGGACCGGTGCTACCGCCGTCCAAAGAATCGTCCACGGCATGTTGAACTTGGAGGTTCAAGACAAAAAGATAGGACAGGAGAAACAGTGCAACTGGAAGGCAGTTGCCATGCGTTGGAGGAGAAGGGTGGGGGAAAAACGAAGGGAGCATCGACATGTCTATGTAGCGAAGCTCGATAAACAAGCATTTGTTTGTCGGCTCCGTGTGATATCAGGACCGCTCTGCCTTTGACCCCTGCAGCTGAACAGGCGTCCATGACACCCTACAATGCTACTGCATTAGTGCTGACATACTCTCTTGGAATAAGGCTGCGAGCCTTAAATTTGGAGCATAGATGTCGATCTTCTGAGAGGTCAGTCAGCTCTGATGATCGATTTCCCTATACAGACACTCTTGAATGGAAAATTGTTCTCTCTTCCACCAAAACTAGAAAGGATAAGCATAATTCGCGTACAACATAATCTCAAATATCACCGCTCGGTCGGAATGTAACGACCCCCTCCTTTGCGCGATAATAGTAGTCTTACGTAGATTGCATCACTGGACGCCTGACTGCACTCATTCCAGTAGATCTATACTAGTTATAGTGAGTGTCGCATCAAGCTCAGCCTCCCGCGCTGCAAGGCCGAACAAAGGTTTGTTTTTTGTTTTACCTGGTGCGCAGTTCAGGTCGCGCGTGAAGGAGAATGCTACCACGCAGAGACATCATGAGGCCGAGGTTAGATATCGTAATGTTGAAATATTCGAAAAGTTTTCCCGCACTCCTGAAAAATATTTCTTCGTTGGAGGTAGGTATCTGCCTATTTTCGTTCTGTTAATTCAGCGGGGACCCGTTCAACTTGTCCTTAGCAAGTTTTAAACGTACCTTGTATGTGCCGTACGAGTGTTGCATCACCTAAGGCTCTCTGGAAGCCACTACGAAGTAAATCATCGTCGGCATGAATCTCATCTCCCTCTCTGGGTGGCTTGCTTTATGGGCTGGTATCTGTTCTGCCGCACCGGCAGCACTGGCTCTGGAGAAGGAAGTCTCCTTTAATGAAACATCCGCAACCCTATTATCCAGTAGGTCTATCGAGAAGCGGGAAGTTTTCTTCGGTTGCAGCAATTCCGACTTCTCAGGAACCCTCACCCAGGCGATTCGAGATGCTAGCACTATCGTAAGTGTCGCCCAAATCCTGGCTCTACTGCTACGATGCTGATACATAGCGGCAGATGTCCAACATGGTAGCCCACCTAGAGCTAGCCATCAGCCTCTACAACGAGGACGGCTCCGGAAACCTCAAGGCTAGCAAGGCGACTAGAGCGCAGCGCACTTTTGACGAACACAATGCGTTCGCTTCCTACCTCATGTTTGTCACAAAGCACTACTTTGGCCCTGACGATCCTCGAAACAAGAACGGCCTGGAAAAGCTCAAGGGAACGAGGGACATGGCCAAAACAATACAATCGCAATACGCAAATTACCTTGCAGGTCGGTCCGTCCGTTGGATTCGGGGTGGATTCCCGTATATCAATATCTACTGCAATGACGCCGATGTGTACTCCGAGAGAAACAGCGCGGGTTTGACATACACTGAAGGTGATGATCCCTCCCTGGATCCCTGGATCCCCAATCCTAACTGCTGACATGTTAATCAGCTACCGGGAAGAGAAACCGTAAGGGCCATCCATCTACCCGTCCATCGATCCGAGGGTGAGGTAAAAACCCGGACGTTCAACCTTTGCTAATTATGCCTCAAATATATAGCCTCTCTCGCAAAAGATGGGTCATACGTCTACTGGATCTTTCAAACGAAAGGTACACTGTATAACGAAGGCAGCTGGGTGCCATACAAAGCTGTCTGTGCACTCCAGGACGGGGCCGATCAGACACGCTTCGGCGGCGTGCCCGCCGTTTCGGGAATCAAGGCGTATGTGTACGGAGCGGTCTATGGTCTAGTTCAGGAGACCATGGTCTTCTGTCCGTTGAAGTTCGACAAATGGACTGAGATCGAAACTAGCCGGATAGGGAGCGGTCTGCACTACCGCGACCTGCATGTTGAAATCGGCTCGAGCCCAAATACGAACCAGAAGAGTGCCATAGAGAAACTGCTGGCTCAGCCTGACTTCATTGGAAAGGAGGCCCGGGGTATAAAGTGGCTGTCCGACTTCCTCGTGTCAACCGTGATCCACGAGTCGACGCACGCGGAGGCGTTCGTCGGTGGAGGAGGCAAGACGCTGAGTGAGCCTTCTCACCCATTCTCTTCGAGTCTCCCTCTTCTTGAGATATATCTGACATGATACCAGTTGACGTGCAATGCACTAGCCCAGCCCAGAATTCGCTGGACCCTGCGTGTATGGGTCGAATCGCCAAGGGGACAGACGGCCTTGACAAAGACGGCAATACACGAGGGCACAAGGACGCAGAAGCATTTGCTATTTACGCCATGGGTAAGTTATCTCCAGATTGATTGCCTGGAAAATCCGCTTGGTTTATCTGGCTAACCTGGTTCGCCTAGCAACGTGGGTCAACACGGTATATTGGTATGCCGGTTATTTGCCTAAGGATAGAAATACTTATAAGGGTTAATGTTCGCTTGCTGTATCAAGTGTGTGACGACGGTATAGCTCTTGAATACTCATACTTCTTGGTCGCTGTAGCTTTCTCCATCTACTTCTCATTTCAAACTCAATTCAGGCCAACAAGTGGTGGGATTGCCTGGTGCTTTCTGCGGCAGTGTAAGCAGAAATAGCTGAAGATCAGTTGCGAACCCTCCGCTAGGAGGGTGGCAAATAGTGCTAAGGCCATTCTGACCCCTTCTGTAACCTGCGACGGACTAGGCTGTTGTATGGGGGGTTGTAAATTGGCAATAATTGGTGGAGGTTGGCGGGGTGGTCATTTCTTGGCACTTATATATCATGTCGCCAGTGGAATCCAGAAGGTTGGGGTTAAGTCACTTATTTTTTTATCGTATATATATGGAGAGCTGTACATAAAAAGAACACTTTTCTGGTAAAAATCTTGACCTCTGGTTACTTCATTCTTGAGGTCCAGGATTGCGGCGGAGAGAGTCGACCCCTGTACCCCGTAGTCTGTTCGAGGTAGGATTGATGCCTGGAATCGCCTATTATCTTTCGCGATGGTATCGACGGAGTGAACTTGCCTTCCGTCTGTCACTATATATTGTTATGGCCCCACTAGCCGGTGCATTTGGTGGTCTTCTAGCTTCTGGTATTCTGAAGCTAGATAATTTTGGCTCTCTCTCGAGCTGGCGAATGATCTTCGCGATTGAAGGCATTATTACTATCTGCATTGGTATTATCTCATTCTTCACCCTGACCGACAGGCCAGAGACAGCGCTATGGCTCTCCCAAGAAGAGAAGGATCTTATATTGACTAGGCTCTGTATTTTTGTCCCATTTTAGTCTGAACAGAAAGCATCGCGCGAGGTAGGGCCGGACCTATTTCTGGTATTCCCGCCCAATCAGTAACCCTACCTGTTACGATCACACGCTCCCTTCTCACTTGGGACCAGATTGGAACTCCCATGATAGAGCGTATTCGAAATCATCTTTCTGAGGAATCTCAACATCTTCTTTCTGGACGAATCCAAATATTGATTTTTATGCAAATTTTCTTTGTTTATATTGTGGCTAAACGGGATTCGGATGATACATAAAAGAAATAAGTCATAGTGCAGTGAAGACAGTCGCAGAAGTCTAAGAGTGAAACAAGACACGTAACTAGTATATTTCAGTATCAAGTCAATTAAAAAAAAGAAGAGAAGCTGTTCCACTATCTCTGGCTTTACTGCGGAGTGTCTCAGGAAAAGTCATTGGCTACTATCTATAGCCCAGCCTTTTCTTTGTCTTTGAAGAGCTTCGAACCTTCTTTCCTGCTTTAGGTTCTACCCCAGGTCAAAGCATTTCATTGTCTTGCCGCTCACCTTGGGTGTCAATGAACTTCGTCGTATAACTCACGAGTTTGTCTGTTTGGTGTTGATGCCTCGACTCTGTAGCCACCGAGTTATTTTTCCTTTACAGTTCCCTTTGTCTGATAACATCCGAAGGTTGATGTCCTAAGTTATAAAAGCCACCTGTTTTTCAAAATGAATATTCTCTCTTCCCTATCTCACAACTTAGCTGGTATAATTCCACATTTTCTTGTCCCTCTTCATCAATAACCCTAAGTGGTGTTTATTCAGTATGCCTATCACTCGCCAAAGAAGAAGATCTGATAAATCGGTCCTTCTGCCTGGTATCCCCATGGATGAGAAGCGATCTAGAGGATCTAGGGCATCTGGCCCTAGCCCCAGTCGTGTTACCAAGTCCGCTGTAAAGAAAGGGAAGAAGGTATTTTATCCCCTTGTCCCTTGTATATGAACATTGCTTACAAATTCTCTTTTGACAGAGGGTGCAAGATGCAAGTCTGCCCCATTTTGCACTTGCGAACGACCTCCTCGCGCGTGGGGAAGGGCTACGTCGTCCCGGAACCCTTTCATTGCATGGTCAAGTTTTCAAGCCACCGAAAGTATGGGGACACCGTGACGAGCCTATAAACGATCCTAGCATGCTACCTAAAGGATGGTCTTCAAGCGAGACAGATCTTGCCGAGGAGTAAGACCCGTGTTGAATCTCTCTGTCTATCAACTCTTTGCTAACATTTCTGTAAAAGTGATGTCGACGGTCAAATTGAAAGATGTTACAGACGCATCGATGAGGGAATCATGCCTGATATTTTCCGGGACAGGTTGGAAATGTACCAAAATATCAAGCTGAGACAGACGTAAGGAAATCCTACATTGTATACTGTTCTCGTGACATTGATTAACATCTCTTATAGAGAAATGATCAACTCCGAGCCTAGCGGTCTTAGCTGGGAAGTCATTCAACGCCTTGATTGTCTGAAGAAGGTCAAAGCGAGCTTCTATGAGTTGGGAAATGACAATGGGAATACCCCCAACGTGATAGCCATTATGGCTGCCTACCGGTCTGGGAACCTTGTCTGGGATAAAGAGAAGGTCACTTACTGGGCACACGGAAAAATGGTTGGCGGTCCCAAGAAGATGGAAATGGAAGAGTTTTACGCTCTTAGTAGGCAGCTTGGCCCAGAGGGTATTTGGGTAGAAGGAGTGAGTTCGAATACAGAACGGCTCTGAGTCCTATTCCTCATTCATACGTAGATCTCTTGTTATATCAAGTCGGCCCAACATGAAGATATAGGCATATCCCTCTGCATACAGTACTAACCTGACTTGTAGATGGACGACTACAAACCAGAACCGATGTATCTGTTCTTCTACATGCCCCCGCTCCAGAGAGGGTACGCCATGCATGAGGTATGATCTCCCAAGTGAAATTTTCAGGATCTATGTTAACATCAAACAGTTTATCGTATCGATCCGAAATCCTAACACTTGGCAAAAAAACACATGGCAACATACCGTACACCTCAATGTTATAGAGGATACTGGTGCTATAGCAATGAAGATTCACCAGTCCGATAGACTCTACATTGAACGACTGAGTGGCGCCGGTCTGCCTGTCACTGGTACAACAAGAATGGGCACAGCGGCTGGTGAGGTCCCGGTGGATAATGTGGTATTGCAAGTCAATGTCTTCCACAATGATCAGCCACTCCTCCCCCGGTGGACTGATATTCGAGCTTGTATAACCCGTGAGCCCGGCGATGCTTCTACGGGTTTGCGGCTATCTGGTCTCTGGCTTCACCATATGCTATATTGTTTGAGTGTGCCTAATAACTCTGAAGCTATGTACGTGGGAACTGACCTCCCTGAAATATTGGCAAATGTGCCACTTTGCAATCCAGCATACGCAATACCGCCATCCACTGATCCTATTTGATTAAATCATTCTTCTCGTGGGTGTTGGACAATGCATAGGGAGCTGGATATCGATTCCTGGTTATATATTCTCGTCTTACTTGATTATACTTGTGTTTTCCCTTGTTTTTCCTGTTTCTGTCTGTTTTGTGTCTTTTGTTTTGGTTATATTGAGCTTCAGTCGCGTCTAGTCCTTGTGCCCCTTGGAGGCATGAGATGACCGGGGTACATATATCTCTTATATTTGGAGTTTCTGAACAAGTGATGGTTCGGGAGATTGTTGCAGATCGTCTTGGTCCTATAGATCGACTTATTTTTTCGTCTCGGATGTAAATCAGTAGCGAGGGGCGACAGGTAATAAATAACATCGGTACGGATTGACCTAGAAGTTAAAAAGCTAATAAAACATTAATATTTTGTCCGATTTTGTCCTGTTCGCCGCTATCTGATGCAAAAACACACTGCTCCAGATGCTAAAAAAATGTCCATAAACTGCTGTGACCATATCATACATTTCATGAGAGTGCAAGAAGCACGATCTCCACAACCACTTCGCGCAGTGGTTACTCCTTACACCAACAACGCTAGCCATGCGTTTCAACGACGCCATCTCCGTTGGTTCTGGTTCTTCTGGGTATTCCGCGCCGGCGCATCGACCATCATCTCATCGCTGTAGAGACCAGTCGGCGAGTTTCCCCGGTTCTCGGATAGGAGGTCGTTCAGATGGCTTGGGCCACGACGGGCTCGAATTCGTTCCTGGTCAGCTTGCGCTCGGAGCGCACTGAAGGGGTCTTGCTGTGTTGCGGCCTTTGTCGATTTAAGGGTCATTGTGAGCAGTCTCCCGTCAGCCTAAAGAGCCGATGTCAGCATCCATCTCCCAATATCATCAAACGGGAACGGCATTTACCTTCTGGTTGTGGAAGTTGGCCACTACTAGCTCTGCGGCCGTTTTATCTGCATATGCAAATTCCGCAACAACACTTGGCTGGCTTGCTACTATCTGGCAGCTGAGCATGGGTCCTGTTATGGGCTCAAGAGCAGACTGGATGTCGGCCGCTGTTGTCCCCGGCGCAAAGTTTCTCCCGACGACAAAGAATGGGCCCGAAGCACCCTTAATAGTCATGTTGCTGCCGCCGAGTGGACGGCTATTCTGCGCGACGTTGCCTGATCGCGTGTTCATTTGGCCGTTCTGGGATTGGAAAGCTGCCCGGGCCTGATCCGCATTCACGCGATCATTCTTGCCAGGTTTGCCGTGTGTCCGATTGTTGTTCGTGGTGGGCGCGGGCTTGTTCTTGTTGGGTTGCACGGTCGCTGATGCAGAGCGCTAGATTTTGATGCCAGAAATTGTCAAAAGAGTGTTCCTCAAATGTGGTCGCATCCATGGTCATACCTTGGTTACTCCGACCCTGCTTGCTAGGCTTCCAGGCTTTGTATTCTGTGATTTATTCTGCACTTTCTTGCCGGCGCCAGAGCCTGAGCCTGGCGCGCTTGATCTGCGGTTCTTGCCCAAGAGTTTGTTTGCGAGGTCCTCCTGCTTCTTCTTCTGACGATCTGTGGACAAAAACAGTCAGATTCTGCGAGATGTCAGATGGCAAGGGAGTAATTACCAGCCTGAATGATGGCGTCAAACGAGATGGGCTGTTCGGTCGTCATCGTAAAAAGAATCTTAGATAAATCAATAAATGAAAGTATGGAATGAAATGAATCCAGATGTTAAGAGGTTGGAGAAAAAAAAAAAGAAGCTCGGAGCTGGTCAGCTTTGGAGCCGAACTATCAAGCGCGTTTACCTCCTTGATTACTCCGTAGTTATACATAGCCACATTTCTATAGTTAGCCATTGGCCCTGAGACTGTTTTATATTTCTGTGTCATTTTTATGCTAGATGTTTTTCAAATATATTGGCAAAGGTTCTACTTGATTAAATATTAAAGGGACACCCAAATGTACTAAGCCAGAATATCTTCAGGGCAGACTTTATTGTACAATGTAGATCGAAATACAGACCATCAAACAAAATCTGTTATTATTTAATCTTATGATGTTCAAAAAAGCAATTATCCCAACCGAAGACTAAATCCAGCCCCTACTTCACCGGTATCTCCACCCGGCGCACCCCCAAAGACACCTGCAAAGTCCAGCTCGGGTGCTTCCTGGCCTCGTTTAGGAGCCTCAGGCGTGTGATGACGTCTCCGTTTCTCCATGCCAGCCTTGGATGGAAATGTAGGGAACATCTCTCGCGGTTTTGGGCGCGGATCTTCCTTGAAATATTTGTGATCGAGGCACTGTTTTGCCGTAGGACGGGAGGCTGGATTCAGCGCCAGCAATCCGGACATGAGACTCAACCCCGCATTGGTCAGATAGGGGAACCGGGAACGAGGCAGTAGAGGCGGGTTACCGGCTGAAGAAGGTCCCGATGTCGATGGGAACCGCAGGGACTTGGCGTTGGGCAATAGACGGAATCCAGGCCATGTTTCTGAGTTCGGTGGTCCGGTCAAGGCGAAGATCTTGGACACCTGGTCGACTTCATTCTTGCCCTGTAAGAGAGGCTCTTTGGTGAGCAGCTCGCCGAAGATACAGCCAATGCTCCACATGTCGATCTCCGTGCCGTATTTGTCCGCGCCGAGGAGCAACTCCGGCGCTCGGTACCAGAGGGTCACAACGAGCTGTGTCAGCTTAGGAGGTGGATCGCCGAAGTAGCGGGCCATGCCAAAATCGGCGATTTTCAGCTCGCCACGGTTGTTCATTAATAGGTTGGAGGTCTTGAGGTCGCGATGCATGATCCACTGTGAATGTAGGAATTCGAGTCCTCCAATCACCTGTAGCAAGACGGTTTTGATCTCAGAAGGAAGGAAGGGCTCGCGCATCTCGTCGAGTAGGGCTTTGAGGTCGTGTTCGTGGAAATCCATCACTAGGAATACACTGTGGGAACCAATTGATTAGCATATATAGACAATATAGCGTCAACCACGGAGAACTCACTCGTCCATTTTATTGCCCATTACTACTTCCCGCAGGTAAACGACATTTTGATGTCGCGCTTCCAGAAGGGTTTGGATTTCCCGGAGTCCAGTGACTGGGAATCCGTCCGGCGAGTTCTCCAGCTTGAGCTTCTTCAGCGCGACAATTTCTCCCGTCGAAATGTCCCTTGCGCGTGAGACCCATCCATACGAGCCCTCCTCAATGTGGTTCAATCTTTCGAAGTTATCCACATGCCTGCAGGGCCCCCATTCTCCAACCGGAAAGCGTAGTAGAGTCGACTGGCTTTTCTGCTCCTTCTCGATCTTCACCAATTCGGCATCATCTGGATGAGCGTCTGGGTCGTTGGAGAGTCTTCGTCGCTTTGTTGGGGGGCCTAGCTCGCCATTGGCGTTGGCATCGCGCGCTTGAGCTTTTCTGGCCTCTTCTAGTCGTTGTTTCTCTGCTTTAGCGCGTTTTTTTTGTTCCTTGACGCGTTTTTGTTCTGCGACAATTGCCTCTGTTTCTGGATCGTCATTTGCCCATCGGGATGACATTTTGCGTGAGGGAATGTTGAAGGGAGAAGGTTCGGGAATGACGTTTTTGTCAGAAGCCGAGTTCCTTCGATTTGAAATCCAACGCCCCGCCTTGAGTTTGTATAGCGCATTGCACATCTTTCTTCTGATCTTTGGTCTCCTTCTGATCTTTCTCTTCTGGAAGATTATCTTTCTCTCTAGTTCGCTTTTAATTGTGCACATACTCTCTTCCCCGCCATGATTGAACCATTCCAGGTCAGCCTTGTCTGAGTGACATGACTCACAAGCAGCCAGTACTAATGCGGTTTCTATGTCTAGACGACCTTCTCGGTCCCAATGACCTGTGAAGGCTGCGTGAAGTCTATATCCAGCTCTCTAAATAGCCTGGAAGGTAGTCATCTCACGCGAGCATCTAAACCTTCACGCAAACTGACCCCGCGGCAGGAATCAATAAAGTTGAAGCAAATCTCAAAGACCAGCTAGTCTTCATCGAAGGCACCGCTCCTCCCAGCTCCATCGTAAGCGCGATTGAGAGCACCGGCCGCGATGCCATCCTCCGTGGCAGCGGTACTACAAACAGTATGGAATCCCCGGTGTCTACTTACTATCCCATGCGACACAAATGAGCAACCTCAATTGATACAAATTACCAAACAGGTTCCGCCGTCTGTATCCTCGAAACACACTCAACGACCGTCTCGAACAATATCCGCGGGCTCGCGCGCATGGTCCAGGTCTCCCCGAACATGACCCTCATCGACCTGACAATCAACGGCCTCTCGCCGGGCAAATACTGGACAACTATCCGAGAAGCGGGAGATATCTCCCGCGGCGCCGAGTCTACGGGTGGTATCTGGGAGTCTCTGAAGACCAAAATGCTTGGCGCTGATGCTACTGTCGCCCCGGCCAAGGAGTGCCGGGGCATTCTCGGTACCGTGGATGTTGACAATAAGGGCCGGGGTAGTGTGTTCTTGGACCGGCCTGTGGCAATCTGGGAGCTTATTGGTCGGAGTATGGTGGTTTCCAAGGGGACACAGGGTCCTTTCAAGCGCGAGGATGAGAATACACTTGTTGGTGTTATTGCGCGCAGTGCAGGTGTGTGGGATAATGATAAGATGGTTTGCTCGTGCTCGGGTAAGAATGTGTGGCAGGAGAGAAAGGAACAGGTTGGTTTGGGTATGGCTTGAGTTATGGTGTTGACTTTATCAGGAGTGGCGTTGAATGTTGGTGGTGATGCCACTTTTTGAGTACTTTAGCCAGATCAATCATCCAGTGATATACGTAGCTTCAAATATGTGATACCATGAAGTATAGATGCGATTATGAATGCAGATTATGAGGTACTTCTCTTTACCGTCCCTCTGTGACTACTGGAGTTGGTTATATATTAACAGAGGATTGTTACAGGGACCCCCCCCCACCATTGCTATTGTTGTTGAAGTAGATTTTGACGACGAAGTAGTTGATGTGATAAAAGTGACTTAATTTTGTTAGTGGTTTACATACAAATTGTAGGTATCTACCGTCTTGC